TTTTGTTGTTTTTTGCCGAAATTCAGACAAATGTGGGATTCTCCTTTCCTGGAGCTGGAGGCAGATCCTGCCGGAGGTCTGGATTCCACAGCAGAATGGTGGGAAAAGGGGATTTCGGGGTCTGGAATACTCGAACCTGCTGTGTGCCCGCCTTTCTTTGTGTCTCTCGGACAACGGTGGCAAAACATCATTAGGAGAGGGAAGAAAAAAAAAAAAAAAAAAGGATTTTATTGAATTCTCAATAAATATCACGGGGAAATTCATATTAAATTTATCAAGTATCAGACTTTACAAACTGTCAGCCCTACTCCATCCTATTCCCAAGGGGTGCCATTCCCGATTTGATCACTCCCTCTCGCTGGGATCAGAGCTGGATTTGGGACTGACTTTGCTTTATTTTTGCCATTCCCCATTCCATTTGATCCCTCCCTCTCTCCGGGAACAGAGCTGGATTTGGGGCTGACTTCGCTTTATTTTTCTTTATTTTTCTTTATTTTTGCCATTCCCCATTTGATCCCTCCCTCTCGCTGGGATCAGAGCTGAATTTGGGACTGACTTTGCTTTATTTTTGCCATTCCCCATTCCATTTGATCCCTCCCTTTCTCCGGGAACAGAGATGGATTTGGGGCTGACTTCTCTTTATTTTTCTTTATTTTATTTTTCTTTATTTTTCTTTATTTTTCTTTACTTTTCTTTATTTTTCTTTATTTTTGCCATTCCCCATTTGATCCCTCCCTCTCTCCGGGATCAGAGCTGGATTTGGGGCTGACTTTGCTTTACTTTTGCCATTCCCCATTTGATCCCTCCCTCTCGCTGAGATCAGAGCTGGATTTAGGGCTGACCCCGCTTTATTTTTCCCCCTGCGGCAGGAAAACCTCTGCTCGCCCGGAGCTTTGAGGCCGAGGCGAAGCCGGGGGAGCCCGGCCGGGCTCCGGGGCCGCGGCGGCGGCCGCGCGTTCTGTTCTCGCAGGCTCAGCTGCTGGAGCTGGAGCGGCGCTTCCAGCGGCAGAAATACCTGTCGGGGCCCGAGCGGGAGCAGCTGGCGGGGCTCCTGCAGCTCAGCCCCACGCAGGTGAAGATCTGGTTCCAGAACCGGCGCTACAAGAGCAAGAGGCAGCGGCCGGAGC